AACGGTAGTTCGAACTAGGAAGCCTAGTTCGAACTACCTAGTTCGTGCCGCGTGTAGCCGCGCGGCACAGGGTTCGAATGAGCGGGGATTTAAAAATGACGGATCCCCGCTTATGCAAATGAAGCCCGGGAAATTCAAATCCCGGGCTTCATTAGCAAGTGCGGTATGCCTACATTACCCTCCTAGTTCGAACTAGGAGGGTAGTGTAGACATACCCCAAGGGAGGAACTGGTTGAGAATTTGAAAGTGGAAGTCAGGTTGGGTAAAAGTGATCATGATTCTGATTTTAAGGAATGGCAGGAATCCCCGCTTATGCAAATGAAGCCCGGGAAATTCAAATCCCGGGCTTCATTAGCAAGTGCGGTATGCCTACATTACCCTCCTAGTTCGAACTAGGAGGGTAGTGTAGACATACCCCAAGGGAGGAACTGGTTGAGAATTTGAAAGTGGAAGTCAGGTTGGGTAAAAGTGATCATGATTCTGATTTTAAGGAATGGCAGGAAGGAAAACAGCAGGAAAGATAATGGATTTTGCAGGGGCTGACCCAGGAAACTCAGGGAGTTTGTAGGTAAGATCCCATGGAAAGCAAATCTAAGGGGAACACAATTCAAGCGAGTTGGGAGTTTTTCAAAGACATATTATTAAGAGCACAAGAGTAAACTATTCCACTGCATAGACTAGATAAGAAGTATGGCAAAACATCATCCTGGCTTAAGTAGGAGATCTTCAACCATCTGAAATTCAAAAAAGAATCCTACAAAAAGTGGAAACTACATCAAATTATGGCAGATGAATATAAAAACCCACAAGCATGTAGAAGCAAAATAAAAGTTAAGGCATAAAATGAGATTAAACTGGCTAGAGACATGAAGAGTCACATTACATTAGAAACAAGAGATAAACTAAGGTCAGGATAAGAATGAAGGGAAAATGAGGGGAGAAAAACAATACAACAAAATGTGAAAATGTTGGGAATACTAAAGGCCCATTTTGTTTGAGTTTTCACCAGAAAGATGAGTAGAAATGGAACATCTAACATAGTGATCTGCAGTTATAGTGAGGTAGGATCTGAGGCTAAAATAGGAAAGAACAAGTTAAGATTACTTGTCTCAAGATCCGAAGCAGCAGATGGAAAAGCATTTCTCTCTTAGCTCTGGATTCCATTATATGGCCCCCTCCTTCCTGTGGAGATACTGCTCAGAGGTCACCTGAGCAAGAAGCACCTACTGGAGCACTACTCAAAGAAGTAGGAGAGATGACTCACCCTGTGCAATAAATATAGTTCTTTGCGATGGGTGTCCCTGTGGGTGCTCCACTAGGAGCCTTCCTGCCCCTCTGCTTTAGAGTTTACTCTTTGAGACTTTTTGATGGTGAAAGAATTGAGGCTGTTTTACCTGTGCTGCTCTATAAAGCTTTGGTATGGGACACAAGATAGTGAAGAGCGCACTCACAGGCTAATGAAAATCTCCAGCTGAAGGTGCACAGCCTGAAGTGGAGTCCCCATCAGGACACACATCTTGAATAAGTGCAGTTGCTACACAGAGGCTGTGTCTAGACTACATGGCTCCGTTGACAGAGCCATGTAAAACAGTTTATTTGGCATAGGCAAAGAAGCGGGGATTTAAATAGTCCCCGCTTCATTAAAATAAAAATGGCCACCGCCGTGCTGTGCCAACGATCCCTCGTGAAACGAGGTTTACTGGAGCGGTTGACAAGGCTTACTTTGTCGACTGCGGTGCCTCTAGACTGCCCTGCTGTGCCAGATCAGCAGATCATCGGCACAGTGTGGCGGCCATTTTTATTTTAATGAAGCGGGGACTATTTAAATCCCCGCTTCTTTGCCTGTGCCGAATAAACTGTTTTACATGGCTCCGTTGACGGAGCCATGGAGTCTAGACATAGCCAGAGTAAATAGCCTCTCTTCTTAATCTCCAGCACTCCCTGAGAGGTTCACCACAACTGGACATGGGACCACCATATCACCACCTGCACCTCCAGTTGAGAAGCAAGTTCGCAAATATTTCCCAGAAACCTGGATATGGAATTTATTTTCAGTCGGGTAAGTAGCGCAGTGTGGTAGCCCAATTTGATCATCTTTGCACCATCCTGAATGACCAAAGATCTGGTCACATTTTAGAGATTTACAAAAGTAGAGAAAAGTGCTGAGTTGCACACGTAGGGGAGATTTTCAGATGAGTATACTGTGGGTCCTTTAACTGCCAGGCTGATGGTAATAGGGTTTTATAGCTGAAATGTCAGTCACTTTTCTTTTGTTAAATGTCCATTTCCATAAAAACTTGAATCTAAATATCTATCAGCAGGTTATTTTCTCTTCTGTGATGAAGCATAGTGTTATTGTCATAATAGCTATTGCGATGTCATCCATGTGACAATCCCTTAATCAAGGGGTTTGATTCGAACTAACACGTCCCGGAGCACACTTTCACTTCCGAATCAGCTGTTGAGCGGAATAACGCGCAGGCAAGATCATGCTAATGAAGCACAGGATATTTAAATCCCTGCTTCATTAGCAATTTCGGTTGCCTACATTTGCATCCCTCGCTCGAACTAGGGAGCAAGTGTAGACGTACCCTAACGCAGCTGCCCTCATTCAGTGCAGAATCACTGCTACTATGTCTTGTAAACTTGGCATAGACTCTGCAGGCCAGGCCAGCCCCCTGATGTGCCATCACATTTTGGCTGGCTTCCTAGCACACGAGAGTGGAAGTTATTGCTTGGCTCTTACACTAACTCTCCCTGTCCTTGGGCAAGTCACTTCACCTCTCTGTTCCTCGGTTTCCACATCTGTGAAATGTTTGTAAAGGGTTTTTAGAGCTATAGGCAGTGTCTGTGGAATGTGCCAGGCATCATTATTAATGGAACCTTTTTGGAAAGTGGCAAAATATCATTTTATTTCCAGTGAGAAATTTTAACAAAGAGGTGAAACTCTGAGCTCTAAAACGCTGGGTGGGGAACATAGATTTTCAAAGATCATCTACAATTGACTTTAATGGAAGTTGAGGATATTTAGTATTTTGCAGGATGGGATTGTTTACTGATGTGTCTAACACAATTCAATTGTGCGTCTTTGCAGATTCTGTCTATGGTAAGAGTGAGGTACAGAGATGGGCCCAACTCACAAATCTGAGATATGGGTTTGTGTCCAGATTTCAAAGGCTCCATTGTTCAGATGATTCTGATTGCAGTAATTGGATTGGGTGCCTTGGCAATAGGCCCATTGATGGTGGGGTCCAAGAGGGCAACTGCCCTGGTACCAGGCAGTTCAAAAGGGCCTGGGGCTCCTGGCTCCTGCTGTTGCTACTGTGGCAGCAGCAGCAGCTGGAACTCTGAGCCCTTTAAATCACTGCTGGAGCCCCAGGTGGCACATTCCAGACAGCACTAAAGGCTGGTGGGGCTGGGGCGGGAGGGGGGGAAAGGCAGGGGTGGCTTCTCCAGCTCTACCCCTTCCACCTGAGGCCCCTTCTGTGAGTGTGGAGCCAGCCCCTCACCCCACCTTGCCCAGCGGCCTGGCAATTTTGTCGACCCCCTGTTTGGGAATAAGGGCTCTGGGCCTTCTAGAGACATGACCAGATGGTGTCTTCTAGTAAAGGATTTTATCTCTTCATGGTTTTTCCTCTCAGTCCCACTGGAAACAGGGATGTCCCTGTCATGGTGCCTGACACCATTACTGAGTGGAAAGCTGGGACATTCTGCACATCTGAGGTAGGCTTTGGACTCGCCCCAACCACGAGCCTTCTGGCCTTCAAGCCTTTCTTTGTAGAGCCCACACTGCCCTACTCTGTGATCCGGGGAGAGACTTTCACCCTGAAAGCCACTGTCTACAATTATCTGCTGCAGTGCATCAAGGTGAGTCCTGTGGGTGGCTCTGTAAGGAGGCAGCAAGTGGGGATAGCATCTTCCTCATCATCTCCTGGACTTTGCACCCACTGCTGCCTCCTAGATCAAAGTGACCCTGGCTGAGTCCCCAAACTTCCACTTGGAGCAATGTGAAGGCTGCATCTACACCAGCTGCCTCTGCACCAATGAAGCCAAGACATTTCACTGGAGAGTCACAACTAAACAACTAGGTGAGGCAAATGGGGGATGAGGGTGTAAAAGCCAGGGAGGGCACAATTATGTGTTACTGGACTTCAGGTTAGATTGCATTGGATAAGAAAAATGGAGTACGTGGCCTTTTAACTGTAGGGCACCAGTTGCCAAACATCAAGGGCACTAATAAGATCAAGAATGGGCCAAAGAGCCTTTTATTTTAAGGGGTATGGCTACACTACAGAGGGTTTTTTTTTTTCAGAAAAATGGCTGTTTTTCTGAAAAAACATCAATTACGTCCACACTGCAATCGTGTTCTTCCAAAAGAAAATTTAAAAAAATCTGAAGGGGTTTTCCTGACATTGGTAATCCTCTTTCTACAAGGAAAGAGCTCTTTCGGAAAAAGGCATGTGTGGACGGAGAAAAGGGAGTTCTTTCTAAAGAAGAGGAAAGAGGAAAAAGCACAGGTGCCCTAGTGGCCACTCCTTCCATAGTAATCACAGCTGAAATGTGAGAGAACCTCCATTCAGCGTGGATGCTCTCTTTGGAAAAAGCAGATGGCTTTTTCGATGCTCTTTTGCAGTGTGGACACTCTCTTTCAGAAGAAGTTTTCTGGAAGATCTCTTCCAGAAAAGCTTCTTCCGAAAGAAGCCTTCAGTCTAGACATAGCCTAGGTGACTGGTTCTATTCATTTTGTCTGGAAGGTGATATTTATAGCAGTACCAGAGGATGTTTTTCATAGTCTGCTGTACAATCTGTCATTTCTTGTTTTCAGGGTCGGTTAACATCACCCTTAGCACAGAGGCCCTGGACACCAAAGATCTCTGTGAAGGGAAGGTACCATTTGTACCAACAAGAGGACGGACAGATACGCTGATCAAACCTGTTCTAGTCCAGGTCAGTTTGGGGTTGGACTTAGCTCCCTTATCATCGCTAATAGGAAGGAAATCAGCCCCCATATGCAGTGAGGTGAAATTTAGGCTCTTAAATTGCCACTTCTTATTTAAAGGAGACTAAGTGGCTTCTCCAGGCCTGAGTTATGGTCCAGCTAGGTCCTTACAGTAAGGATCAAAGGACTTGCTTCTGAAGGAGGTTTCCACTATTTTATGTGAAACTCAATTCCTTTATGCCCTCTTCTGGGGGCAACCTCATATCCCCATGTCCTGGCATCAGGGCTTGCCTTGTGCCCACTGATCCTTGTGCACTCCTCTATGTCCTGTCTGAGATGCTGGGATAATGGATGTTGCCAACTGATCCCCTCTTGTAAGCTCCATTTCCCAAGGTGGCAGATGCCCCCACCCAGGAAATCAGCCCTGTCAGGAGTTCGGAGATCTTTGGGCTGCATGGAGCAAGAAACCAGGCAGATCTCAGGGGCGGGGGAGGGTTTCTCATAAGCCTGACATGAAAACACATGTGGTTCATAGCCTAATTGTAACCCTATGTCTCTCCCCTCCTCCTTCCACCGCCTCTGACCCCAATGCTGCTGTCCCCTCCCCAATAGCCAGAGGGAATTCTTGTGGAGAAGGCTCACAGCTCCCTGCTTTGCCCTGAAGGAGGTAGGTGGGCTACTCAGGTGGGGAAAGGGAATAAGAAGATGCAGGTGGGCGGGGGGACTCTGTCTCCTTGGCTTAGGAGCAGCCTTTGTTTTATCTGAAAGAGGTAGGTAAGATCACATTTATCTGTGCAGGGCCTCGTGCAGGAATGTTCCTTATTTTTCAGGCTTGTATCCAGTCCCAGTGGGGCCAACAGCCACCGTGGGCTCTGGGGCAAGGTTGTGTGGGAGGGCCCAGCTCCATGTCCCCAGAAGGGGTTGTGGGGATGAGGGCAGTCAGCCCTTAGCACTGCCTGGATCATGATGCTGCCCCCACCGCCTAGCCCTCAAAGCCGTGTGGAGCAGCGCTCTGGTGCTCCCGCGACAGTTCAAAGGGGTTCAGGGCTCTGGCCACTGTGGCAGCTGGGGAGCTCCAGGCCCCTTTGAAAGTCTGGCCCCTGGGGCAACTGCCCCTTCCCCCTGCCCATCGGCGGGCCTGTCCAATTCTAGCTAGACATGACTGAAGTAATGGGGCTGTCACCCCTTTCCTTGGGAGCATTGTCTCCTCAAGTATTCACTGCAAGGAAATGCTTCCTCATACCCAGACTCAAACTTCCCCCTTTCACCGGATTTACCCCTTCTGAGGCCCTTAGCTAACCAACTCCTAGGTCTTCTCAGAGTCATAGGCAGCAGTAACGTCTGCTGCTTTGTCACCTTGGCCAAGCAATGTAAGTTCATTCCAGTTTGCAAGACAAATGGGGACTCCCTCTGCATAAGGAGAGCAGGACTGAGCCTACAATATGAATGTCCTTGCAGCTAGCATAAAAGGGTGAAAGTGCCTTCACTTGGACAACTAGATAGAGCATAAGTGTCTGGATGGATCCAGTCTCTAGCTTCATTGGCCTTTGGAGGATGGCCTGGGAGGGATTTCAGAGTTCAGTTCTCAGCTGTGTTTCCCATGTTTTATGACGAGGACATTAGTAGAGTTAGAGAGATCCAGGGTTCTGGGTAAATAGACCAAACATACCTTTGCCTCTGAGGTTTGAAATGTGATAGAGTAACCAAGGCAGAAAGAAACAGAGCGGTTGCTCTGAACAGTGGGGGCTGCAAGGGAGAAGGTTCCTGCACCCACAATAGAGGCCAGGAGGAGGGGGGAATAAAGTGGAGGAAGAGAGAAGTCAGGGCTAGGGAATGGAGGGGCAGGAAGGAGAGCACAGACAGGCCTCTGGGACTGCCTGGAAGCTCTGTGCAGGGGAACTTGAGATGTGGGAGCAGAACTGGCTCTAGGGGAGAATTTTCTGAGGATTCTGGAGGCCATTTTTTCAGATTCTCTTCCTGTTTGACACCCGGCTCCCAGGAACTCCAGCACAGGATTCTGTGTCCCTGGAACTGCCCCGGAACGTGGTTGAAGGCTCAGCCAGAGCCACTATCTCTGTCATGGGTAAGGAATTCAGCTTTGGACACTGGGTTGCCAGTTGTAGCTGCATGTGTTCCTGGAGGTTTCATCACATGATATAGTCTTTAATTAAAGATTAATCTTTAATTCCTGGAGATTACTGGAGAACCTGAGGGGGAAGGTTTCACCCTCTAAGTGCCATGGGCAGGGTGACTGAGGTGACTGATCCAGACCCTGCCTTTCTGAGTATTGCTCTGGAAAATGCCAAACCCTGAGCCCCCAAAACTTCCTCTGGTGTTTGACAAAGCCCAGGTCATTTTCCTCCCCTTTCCATGGCTGCATTTACAGGTTCTGTCTGGGGCTGGATGCACCAAATTACTCACAAGGGAAAGGCATTTTTTCTTGCAGGAGCCTCTAATAGTGACCAGAAACAGAAACTGCTGCCCCAGGGAATCACATGAAGAAGGGTCTGGATCCCGCATCTCCTCTACCCAGTTTGTCAATCCTGAGAGATTCTGCTAAAGCTTGGATTAAAAACACTGTGCTGCTGAGTGCTGATCCCAGCCCAGGTGCTGAATGCTGGGAAGGGAGCCCTCCCTTCAATGGACTAGTCCACCAAGAAGAGAAGGGAAAACACCCTCCTTATAAAAGAATGCTCTAGCTGAAAGGGACATTCCCCTTGCTGGGCTAAAAATAAACCTTCCGAGCTATAGAACATTCCACCGGGTGGAAATACACCAGGCAACAGTGGAGATCTCCCAAGAAAAAGAAAAAAGCTGTTTAGTGGAAGATTCCCCAGGGTTAGAACAGCATGTCCAACCCCAGTGCAATAAATAATGTAACATGCTAACAGACTGGACAAAACACATTTTAGGAGGACAGGGCTCCATCAGCCCAGGGGACCAGGCTGCCATCACCATGCTGTCATGGAACGTTCCAAGAGGAGAACTAATCTCCCCACTTCTCGGCCAATCAGGATTTATCCCTGTTGGACCATCGGGTTTTTTTTTCCTGCTTTGTCCTCCCTGGCAGGTGACATCATGGGGACAGCGCTGCAGAACCTGGACCAGCTGGTGCAGATGCCCAGTGGCTGGGGGGAGCAGAACATGGTGTTGTTTGCCCCCATCATCTACGTGCTGCAGTATCTGGAAAAGACAGGGCAGCTGAGTGAGGAGATCAGGGAGAGGGCGACAGGATTCCTGCGCAGCGGCAAGTACCCTGAACCAGCTCTACTGCGTCCAGCCTGGCACCTGCCATGCCAGTAACCTCCTGCCCCTCTCCTGCACCCACCGTGTTCAAATTAATTCACCTGTCTGGCATTTATATATATATATAGCTGCCTGTGATCTAGTACACACTTCTTTCTCCCCACACAGTGGTCATTCTGTGAATACCCCCTCTCCCCAGCTTGGGTGGGTGACCATGTAATTTTCTGCACCTCTCCAGGGTACCAGAGGCAGCTGCTCTATAAACACCATGATGGCTCCTATAGCGCGTTTGGTACCGTAGACCAGGAAGGTAACACCTGGTAAGTTTTGGGTTAGCCCTTTTGTTTCCTGCTGTTTGAGAACCCTGAAGTCTATGAGCTAGGGGACTGGGTTGTCACTGACCCCTCTGGACTGTTTCCAGAGCTGTAATTGTACATGCCCCTCCTACTTCATGATAGGCTCGTGGTGCCTCAGAAAAGCCATAGTGCCACTGCTGGGGTACAGAGTAGCAACTGGGCAGAGAAATGGGACTGGACACAGGCACGATAACTGCTGGGGTAGAGGAGCTTTGCTGTCACCCAGGAGAGACCTTCTCCTCTTGCTCCCTTTTCCTCATTCTCTCCTCCACCTCCTTCACCTCCTGCCTCTCTCCGTCTCTTTTATCCATGTTTCTCATTCCCTCTCCCTGCTCCTCTCCTTCTCCTCATCCCTCTCTGCCATGCTCTCTCCCGCAGGCTGACGGCATTTGTGGCCAAGTGCTTTGGCCAGGCCAGGCCATACATCTTCTTAGATGGCAGGAACATCCGGGATGCACTGAGCTGGCTGCAGATTTACCAGTTGCCCAGCGGCTGTTTCAGGAGTGTGGGGAAGCTCTTCCACACAGCCATGAAGGTAATGGCATGGCGACTGCAGCCTGCAGGCCCAGCAGCCATGGGCCTTGACTCACTTGGGCTTCCTTGGCACTTCCTCTCGCTCTTCCTTGGTGGCAGGGGTGGGTGGGACTCACTTCAGGGGAGGGAATTCAGGGACCTTTACAGGGATGGAGTGGGGGACACTGATTCCCACCCTGCTTGTAGCCCTTTCCTAGCTCTGGGTGTGTGTACTTCCTGCAGGGCGGCGTGGATGGGGAGGTGCCCCTGGCTGCGTACATCACTGCAGCACATCTGGAGATAGGGGAGTCACTAAATGTGAGTATTAGGGCCACTCCTGCTCTCTGGATACCCAGAGCCCTCAGAGCTCAGTGCCAGCCTGTCACTCTCCTGTCTGCCTTGCTGGAGCTGGGCCTGGGCAGGGCACTCCTTGGAGGAGGAGCTCGCACTGCCTCAAGAGAAGGGTGCAGGGAGGGCACTGCTGTGGGTAGCTACACTGGGAGCAAGCTCATATGGATGGAGTCCTGTGATTGTCAGCACACGAACAGCCCAGTCCAGTCCCAGCAAGGCAAAGCACTGACCAGGAGTCCGTGCAGGGGCATTCGTGTGTACCCAGGCAAAGCAGTAGGAGGGTTGTCCCAGATGCCAGCATATGCCCTTGCTGTGCACTTGTACCGCTGGGTGTGTTCCAGCCTGTCTGTGTGTGTCCCCCAACACATGTGCCTGATTGTAAGTCTGTGCACCCATAAGGGCCCATTGCCAGTGTGTGCTTTCTCCCCCACAGAGCACCGTGGTGAAAAAGGCCTTGCACTGCCTCACTAGTGCCCTTCCCATTATTACCAGCACCTACACACAGGCACTGCTGGCCTATGCCTTCGCTCTGGCCCAGGACACTCAGCGCACACAGGAGCTGCTCATTGAACTAGACCAAAAGGCCATCAGAACAGGTACCAGGACCACGCAGCATTGACTGGCACACACAGGTGGGGGCAGGCCAGGAAGAATGTGATGGTTCAGAGCACGTGTCTTGTACTCCAACTCCTCCCACCCCTGGGCTGTGTCCGGGCCCTACGACCTGGGCTAAGACTGCACATGGTGGGCCAGATGTTTGAGCGAGTCCAGTGCCCATTTATGCACCAAAGCATTTGGCTTCATTTACAAAAACAACCAGCCTGTTGGGAGCCGAGCTCTTTGCAAGTGGGGCCACAAGTATCACACTGGGAGTGTCCTGGATGTGGCTGTACCACTGCACCTACCAAACTGCAGTGAGGGGTGGCCAAGCCTTTGGGTCTGGGATCTTTTGGGCATTTTAAGCTCAAAGAGCCTGACCAGAGTCCAGCCACTGCCCCATATTTCAGAATCCCTAGACACACTCTCAGAGTACAGATCTATGTGTCCAATATCAAAGCCATTTGGGCACAGCGCTGACACTTCAGACTCCCAAGTACTTACGCTCACCTCTCTCCCAGAGCTGCACCCCCAGGTGTGACACTTCTGGTTAAACTCCCTCAAGGACAGCAGCAGTGGTGGAGCTCTGCACACACAGACCCTGCACAAAAAGTCCAGCACAATTGCTTTTTTATTCAGGCAGGCAAAGCACAGACTGTACAAAACAATAAACATCAGAAACTGCAAAGTCTGTCGCTTTCCACAATGTCTCACCCTTCCCTGAGCCGTACTTAGGGACCGTCAGTGGCCAGGAAGGAAGGTAGGGTATCCCCTCGCTCAGGCAGGCTAGTACATGGTGGGTGACTTCTCCCCGACATGGAGAGTTGTCCATTCCCCAGCTCCTGTGTGACCTTGCTCTCTCCTGCTCCACATGTTCCCTTCCTGTCTGGCTCCCTCTGCTCCTGTGTAACCCCTCTGGTTTTGTCTTTTGGGCAACTGTCTGTTGCTCCTGTCTTCCCCCCAGCATTCAGGAGGGAAAGCTAAAAGTTTTCTAAGAATGCGTCTGCTGTTAGGCATAACCTTTGTGAGGCCTGTGTTCTTATCTGCTGCCTACCTAAACAGGTCTTGTCAGCAGTGGCAGAGCACATATGTATTTCATAATCCAGCTTCACCATGTCAAGCAGAATTGACAAGTGGTGCAGACATAGTCCCAGTTGATCACGTGGAATTTCTGGGCTCTTTTGGAAACAAACCCTTATTTAGGTGCCTTAAATGGAAGTTGAGTCCTTAGAAAATCTGGTCCTGGGTCTGCAGATCTGTGAGAGGCCAGGAAGATGAATTGGGAAGAGAAAAAGCTACAAGAGTCATATTAGTTATCAACCTGCGAGGCTGGATGGGGGAGACGGTATTTATCAGGAAGCCTGGGTAGCTGATCACTTTACACTCTGGGTAGGGAAGGGGCCATTTCTCCAGCAATCCAGGCAGCCAGAGACTCTGGATAGTTAGGAGGTGTGCATAGTTTTGGTGTATTTCCCTCACAGTGTGTGTAACTGCAGATATTTGATGTGCAAGAGATTTACCTAGTAACCTGTATCCTTCTCTTGTAATAATGCAGTGGTGGTTTTTTCACATAGATAGCTGAGAAGTATTTTCCCAGTGCTCTGTGCCACCCCAGCCATGGGACCGCCCCGCTCTGTCAGAACTAGAGTAAAGGGCAAGCCTGCCAGCAGGGTTGGGGATAATCCCGAGTCCTTTCAATCATCGCTGGAGTGCTGCATGGTGCTCTCTGCGTGTGACATTGAGGGCTGCTTAGCCCCAGCCCTGCCCTTCTGCTTGAGGTGTCGGTCCTGCTGGTGAGGGGCTTTGATTGGATCACATTTACCCCACAGTAACTCTTACACCCCCAGGCCTGAGGCTTTCTCCCCCAACAGCCTCCTGTCTTATTCCTCCTTTCCCCAGGAGGGCAGATTCACTGGAGCCAGACCCCCTCGCAGCCCTCCAGTGCGGGTGTGTGGTCCCAACCCCAATCAATGGATGTGGAACTGACATCCTATGTGCTCCTGGCTATGCTCTCCAAGCTGAATGTCACCAGGACTGATGTTGCTACAGCTTCCGGCATTGTGGCCTGGCTCACCAAGCAGCAGAATGCCTATGGTGGCTTCTCCTCCACACAGGTAACACAAGCCTGACTACTGGGGCAGGTGATGGGCAGAGTGAGTCTCTGCACTGCAGCTGTGGGAATCGGACAGGCGCCAGTGCTCTGGGGGTGTGGATGGCTCTGGGTATGGGCCTGGGAGCATGCCCTGGCATGCACAGGTACAACCCTGATTTCAGTGCTCTCACTTGCTAGGTTCTGAGTCTTCCCCACTTTAAGCTCCAACGAGCACTCTCTGTCTCTCACACAAACTGCGAGGGGGCGGGCTATCTCTTCCCAGGACACAGTGGTTGCCCTGCAGGCTTTGGCCAAATATGCAGCCCTGATATACAGTGATACGAGTAACTTAGAGGTGACGGTGAAGTCCAAGGGAGGCTTTGAGAGGAAGTTCCAGATCACCCAGAAGAACCGGCTGCTGCTTCAGCAAGTGGTGCTGAAAGAAATCCCTGGGGAGTTCACAGTGCAGGCTGTGGGGAGCGGCTGCGTCTATGCCCAGGTGAGACATTCCTCCCATGGTTGCCCCTCTTGCAGGGCTTCTTTGCCATGGTCAAATATCCATTTCCCTGCATACCCAGCAGTCAGGGGGTGCTCAGGCACATGGAGGGCTAACAGCAGTTTTCCTTACCACCCACCTCCCCGCTGTGGTACCTCTGGACCTCAAGGGTGATCCTGTGACAACATATGGGTAAACATAAGGAAGGCTGGCTCACACGGCTCCCAAGCACTAGGGGAACTGGAGGTTGTATCTAGGGTGAGACTTGCTCCAAAAGGAGAACCCTAGTCCCAGCTATCCTAGGTGAAATCTCCTGATGCTAGTGTGCTAGAGACCTGTGCTCCTGGGACTGAAGCATGCAGGTCCCAGCCTGGCTCCCCATGTGTGGTCGATGTAGTCTTTTTGTCTACGCTTTAAGAGTATGAGCAGTAATTGGAGCCGGTGTGAGATGGGAACAGCTGGGCTCACTGTGATCCCTGAGAACAGACTAGTGAATACACGGGCAGCTACTGCCCATGAATAAAAATGGTCCAAATCTTGTCAGCTTTACAAAAGATGTTGACAAATTGGAGCTGGTTCAGAAAAGAGTTACAAGAACAGCGTGAGACATAAAAACCCTTCCTTTGCTGCCAAAGATTAAAGAAACTAAATCTATTTACTTTATCCGAGAGAATGCTAAGAGACAACTTGATCACAGTGCACAGGTACCCATGTGAGGAGCAGACTTTTGGGAGTCCCCTAACAGAATCCAATGGCTGGACACTGAAGCTAGTCAAATTCACTCTAGAAAGAGGTACACCTTTTTAACCATCAGGACGATTAGCCATTGGGGCAGTTTATCAATGAATGGAATGGATTTTCCGCCGTTGGCAGTCTTTCATTCCGGACTGTGCTCTCTTTCTCAAAGATATGCTGTAGCTCAAACAGCTTCTATGAGCTTGCTGTAGGAATTACTGGGTGAGGTTCTATGGCCTGTCTCATAGGATGACGAGATGGTCATTATGGCTCCTTCTGGCTCTAAAATCTAGGAATCTACTAAATCTTCATCTCTAAATGATGATCCAACTGAAAATTCCCTGTCTCTCTCCTCTGCAGACCGTGCTGAGGTACAACGAACCTCCCCCACAGGTCTCCATAACCTTCTCTCTGCACGTCTCCACGCATCTGATTGACTGTGTGAAGGGCGACATGCGTGTCATCACTATCCGCATCCATGTCAGGTGACCCCGAGATGCCCCTTGTATGTGCCACTCATGTGGGACATGGCCTGCTCTGGAGAACAGCAGGGAGTGCCGTTTAATGGCTAGGAAGGAGGGACTGGGCATTTTGGGGAGGAATGGGCAGAGGGTGAATTTGGCAGCTGTGAGGGAAGGAGGTGGAAGGGACTAGGTGCTTCTGGGCTGAGGTTGTAGCCATGAAGCGTGGTTGGGTTGACTTGTTTGTTGGTAGAGGGGAGGGAGAAAGGAAGCTACCCCTAGAGAGAGGGGAGTGTGGGGAGATTCAAAGTGGGAATTGCTGGGAGAGACACAGGGGCTGTGGCTGTTCAGAGCAGGGCAACTATCTTAAATACCCTCCTATAGCTATCAGTGGCGTGTGACTCCTCAAGTTGGGGAGACAGGGCACACCTGGATTCTGGCCTCACCCTGAGGTCCATCCCCATTCAGCTTCCTGTCCTGGAAGATCTGCCAATACTCCACCTCCAACCCCTTTTAGCCCCCCTTGCCTGCTGCTTGTGCCTGTTTGCTCCCTTCCCAAGATCACCCCACCTGCTGATCATGCCTCTTCACCCCCACCCTCTTCGTGTACACATACTTCTTTTCTCCCAGCCCCTTCCACCTGCCCTCCAGCCGGCTGGCCGCTCGCATGCCTCTTGGATCCCCCACTCACTGGCTAGCCAAGTCACCCATCCATCCAACCACTCACACTCACTTGCCTTGTCACCCACTTCTCCTCCCTCTTGCCAGCTGTCCAATCACAGCTTGTGTGTGCCTCTTCACCTCCTCGCATGAGGCTCCCATGCGGGCGGTGGTGGGACAGAATGAAGACATATGGGAATGGTGCTTTGTGGGGGTCGGGGTGCTGCAAGCAGGGCTGCGAGTGAAATGCCCACCCTTTCAGTGATGGTGTGCTCCAAAAGCAGTGGGCAGGCTATCTGGAGAGGCTTAGCCATCTCTGATGCCAAGGGGCTGTCTCAGGCCTAGTGCCTGCCTGAGGAAGAAAACTGGGGGAGACAGGAGGTGGGAAAAGATGTATAGACTCATTTAGACCCTGTTCACAGGGTCTCTGACCATCTGCATCCTCCTTCTCCCCCCCACCCCAGCTACGTCGGCAGCAGAGTCACTTCCAACATGGTGATTGTGGAGGTCTCCCTGCTGTCTGGATTCAGCCTGGCTTCGGGCTCCCGCACTTTGGTAAGGCACCTGGGAAGCAGAATGGGATCATGTGGAAGGGGTCCCATCCAGTCAGTGCTGGTGGGATCCATCCTTGGCCCCGGGGAGGACGTAAGTTTCATAGGCTCCATCCTGAATGATGGGTGGTGAGTGAAAGCCCAGCTTGGGAAGGCAAGCCCCACCCCCACTCCCACCCCTTCCACCTGAGGCCCTACCCCTGGAGCCACGCCCTACCCAATCCCAGCCCAATCCTTCCTGGCCATGTGCAGAGCCTTGGCCTCAGCCTTCCCAGCGGCATCCCCAGCCTTAGGTGGCTGGGCATGTAGGTAGTTTTGGGAAGTGTGCCTTCCCTGGCCTCCATTACTGACCGCCCACGTCACCCTAATCTCTCTGACATTTAAACCCCAGAGTGGGATCTCGAATCTCAGACACATCATGGAGATCACTGTCCCAATGATCCAGGCAAATCCCAGTCCCTCGTATCACAGGAGCTAAGTGACCATGAGAGAGGAGAGAGTGCTCTGATGAAGGACTAGCTAGGAAAGGGTTAGTAAGCACCCACCTGCTCGCTGGCTATAGGGCTGTTCATGGCATGAAGGGAACATTTCTATAGGAATTCTGATCCTCACTCCCTCAGACCTCCAGCTCAACCATTACCTTCCCTCTTTTCTCCCATCCCAGTTGCAGAGCAGTCTCCTGGTGAGGAAAATGGAGGTGAGCCAGAACAGTGTCTCCATCTACTTGGACCAGGTAGGTCTGATTGAGATAAGAACAGGAATAGCAGGGGACTGCAGGGCAGGACTGCGGGGCACTGGCAGGGCTGTGTGGGGAGCCCAGGGCTGGAATAGCAGGAGGCTGCAGGGCAGGGCTGAGGGGCACTGGCAGGGCTGTGTGGGGAGCCCAGGGCTGGAAAATCAGGGCAGGACTATTGGGCTTGAAAAGTCAAATCTTTTAATGCGTAGCCCTTTCAAAGTCCCTGAATTCCTCATTCTCATTAAATTCCTGCCCAGACTCTAGCAGAGTGAACACAGTCTCTGGAGCCAAATTTAGGGAAGTAATGAAATAAATAGCTCACTGGTGAAGTCTCTCTTCTCCTTCCCTACCTCCACCCCCAGTTGAGCAATACGACCCAGACATACGCTTTGCAATTGGAACAGCAGATTGTGGTGACCAACCTGAAGCCTGGACACATCAGAGTCTATGACTACTACCAGCCAGGTGTGTTGCTGAGCTGCTGGGGCATCTGGGCAGGCAGGGACACGGTGAGTCTGTGTGGGTATAACTTGGATTTCTTTGTCTCCCCATGCAGAGGAGCAGGCCCTGTCTAACTACAGTGCCATCTGCAGCTGAGGTAAGTGGGAACTCCATGGACTTGCCTCCCTGCCCCCTCTGTGCATCCAGTACTAGCCTCTTTGCCCCTCAAACAATGCCTGCCAGGTGGACACGATGGCCCCTCCTGCTGCCAAGGACAGCTCCCAGTGTCTCTGTGGTAGAAGCATCTGCCTCCCCCACTCTGGGGGCTTCTTCTCCCCTGTCTCACTGATCCTAGCAATGGAGTCGTTAACATACTTCCCATGTGACAGGGCATGTTTCTGGGTCAGGGACCACACCAGTGATAGCAGTGGGGCATTGCTTCCAAGATTACACCTTTGTAACGTGCACCTCATCGGGCAATACTTGGGAGACGTATGGGAGCTTCAGAAGCGCAGAGCATGGCTGCCCATATGTGGCATAGTGTGTCATGTCAGACGTCCAATACTTCTCGGACACCCTGGCTTCCAAGTAGCTCTCCCACATAGTGTTCATAATAGTAGCCTATGGCACAGAACATGAGGAATGGTTTTCTGCTAGAGAGCCCCACTTCTCTCCCTGGGCCATTCTGCAACAGCTGAGACAGCAGAGTCATTGGAGCTGAAGCTGCTTCAGGTTAGATAAGAGAGGTATTCCCATTGAAAGCCCACAGTCTCTGGAATTTGCTCCTCCCACACAAGTGTGAATAACTGATTTCACCTTCTTAGTACACTGCAAAGTCCACGTCCCTCTTTTTGTACTGGCTTGTAGAACATTCCCACTTGGAGGTGGACGAGAGTGGATGGTGGTTTGGGCAGTACTGTCATTTCTTGCTCTCCGTCTCTCTCTATGCGCAGTATTCTTTTCAGTCTCGCCATCTCAATCTCCTTCACTCTCATTTTACCCTTGATTCATGCTACTTCCCAATTGTCTCTAGATAATCTCTCCATCTCTGTTGCAGCACACAGGGAGGAGGATGTCGGATGGAAGTTATGCTCCCAGCAGTAGTCCCTGCCTGAGCTGAGTAGGATTTCTCAGCTGTCCTTGCTGGGGCAAGGGATGGCTTCACAGTACCACCTGCAAGGGGCTGGGACATTGGCACTAGGTGGGTGGGGGAATCTCCATGGGCTCCCTGTTGGATTGCAGGGCTAGGCACAGACTAATGTTCCTCGCCCAGGTAGCCATTTCCTGGTGAATTTTTTGGGTGTCTGATTATTTTTGATCATTTTTAATCTGAGAATATTCTTGAGTTTGAAAAGAATGAAAATAAAATGGAAATCACATATCCCAGATGCTGTGGTGTTTGATTGGCTCCCTAACAGTTGTTCCAGAGGAAATGTGTGGGTAATTTGTCAGACTGACACTATTGGTGTGTGTCTGACATTCACTTCTCCCAGTGATAATTTCATAAGATTCATAGGCCAGAAGAGAAACATTGTGTTAAACTACTCTGACCTGTTGTATAACCCAAGCAGATCTTTTAGAAAAACATTCAATCTTGGTTTAAAAATGGTCAGTGATTTAGATCCTTGGTAAATTGTTCCAATAGTTCATTAATCCCATTGTTAAAAATGCATGCCTTATTTTCAGTTTGAATTTGTCTAGTGTCAACTTCCAGCCACTGGAGCGTGTTATACCTTCCTCTGGGAGGCCAAAGAGTCTATTATTAAATCTTTGTTCCCCCTGTAGGTATTTATAGGCTGTAATTGAGTCACCCCTTAATTTTCCTTTTTTTAGGCTTACTTGAGCTTTTTGAGTCTATTACTATAAGACATATTTTCTGATCCTTTAGTCATTCTTATAGGTCTTTCTTCTCTGAATCCTCTTCAATTTATCATCTGGAATTGGGGGTATCAGAACTGGACACAGTATTCTAATAGTATTCACCACACCAAATATGGAGGTAAAATAACTTTTCTACTCTGACTCAAGATTCCCCTGTTCATGCATTCCAGGAGCACATGAGCTCCCCCCCTCCCATCACACTGGGAGTTCATTTTCAGCAGATTATCCATCACAACTCCAGTTCTTTTTCAATCACTGTTTGCCAGAATAGAATCTCCTATCCTGTAATGTATGATTTACATTCTTTGTTTCTATAGGTAGACATTTACATTTTGCTATGTTAAAAACACATATTTGCTTGTACCATTTACTAAGCAACCCAGATGGCCTCTGAATCAGAGACCTGTTCACTTCCTTATTTACCTCCAATTTTTGGGTCATTTGCCAACTTTATCTGTGATGATTTTGTTTTCTTATGTATCATTGATAAAAAACATTAAATAATAGAGATCCAAGAACCAGTCCCCACTAGAAACAGACCTGCTTGATGATGACACCCATATACAATCACATATTGAGACCTACCAGGCAGTTTTTAATCCATTTAATGTTTGCTGTGTTAATTTTATATTGTGCTAGTATTTTGATCAAAATGTCATACAGTGCCAAGTCAAATTCCTTATAAAAGTAAAAATATATAATGTCAACTATATTGTATGTGTATGCCAAACTTGTAACAAAAAATATATCAATTTAGTAGGAAAGGATTTATTTTCCATAAACCCACACTGATATGAATTAATTACATTTCCCTTTTAATGGTTTATTCACTAATTCCATTATCTTGCCTGGATCAAAGTCAGGCTGACAGACCAAGGGAGCCATTTATAGAAAGCTGGTGAGTGAGGACAGTAGCCCCTTCCCAAGGTTGGAACCCCTGGATTTCATACTTGAGCTCTGCTTAAAGCTGCCTGCCCTGGCTCCAGAGTCAGATCTTAACTGCAAGAGAGTTTGAGCTGCTTGCAGCTTTGCCTTTGGGACGGGGAGTTTGTTATAAAAAGAAGGGAGGCAGGTGATTAAGAATAACAAGAGGCTGGGCATTCATGTCATTGAAGGATCGTTAGAGCATCATGAAAACATTGCCTGGGACTCCACTTT